CCAGCAAAGCCCAGCATTATCCTCACTCATCCCCAGCTATGATGCAATCACAGCTCCAGCAAAGGTTCTAATGGGTACCTTCAACCTTTGTGTGGCTGCAGATGCTTATTGTGTTTCTAAACTGCACAAAAACATACTTATTAAGACTCAACAATAAAGATCAAACAGGAACAGTATTTGACAGTTATCTGCTGACTTTCTGCCCTTTTTAAACTTTAGTTTGCGACTCTTAGGGCCTGACTCAGAAACCTGCCTTTTTTAATTTTTTAAAACTTTCAAATGAATTATTTTTTCACTGTTACCTAGTATATTGCACATACCAATATTCGTTTGATTTGCCAAGCATAAAGTCATCAGGGTAATGGTTTCTGAACCCGGTGCTGTTTCTGCCAGCTTGAATCTCCTTAGGAAAAATACCAAAATTACGGCAAATTAGATATTTTCTCATGTAAATCACATTTTACATAAATTGGTATTGATGAAACAACATTCTAGGTTTGCAGATAATCAGCCACACAGCTTAGAAAAAACAATATTTGCCTTTTATTGGATCTTTCACCAATGTCTCGCTTATAATCAGGTCAAGAAAAGTCAGTATTGCACATCACAGCAGACTCCACATTCAGCTCTTAGGACTTTCCAGGGAAAGTTTTTCATCACTCTGACCAAATAAAGCACCATCAGCTGTTTTTCTTCTCTATAAGTGTTCTGGATTTTTTACTTTGACTTCTACCAAATACGACTGGGTGATCAAACCTTTTACCAGATCGAAGTAGAGTGCAATGCAGCCACCAACTTCTGCATGGAGGCTAATTCAAATCTCAGAGATGAGTCAGTTGTGTTCATGTGCTTAGGATCCAGGCTCAGACATGGAACGGGGCTTACTAAGTCACCCTTGCATTCTTCTCTGAAATTTACTTGAAATGTTCAGTCAATCAAACTGGATTCTTTGACCCAGTAGTGGTCTACAAGAGAAACAAGATCAAGGACATGGAGGTGGCCTTATCCTCCTCATGCTCCAATAACGTTGATGCATCAAATGTGGGTGCATCTCTACCCCCATACGTGTCATCCTTCTAGAATCTTAAATTTAAGACAATTTGTTGGTTGGAAAGTGTTTTAGACCACCACTCTTTTTCTTATCTAAAGAGACGCGCTGATTCAAGCACAACCCACATAATAGTAACTGTCTATCCAAAAGCACTCATGTTTTTTCAGGAAATGTAAGATAAATTTGTAAATTTTTGATTTTCTTTGGCAAAGCTGCCAATATTAGAACGTAAAAACACAATCTTGAGCATCAAACACACACTCTCTTTACTAGAAATAAAACAAGCAAATAAAGTATATTAAGACTTAATCATAGTCTGACTTAAAAATCATAATGTGAACACAACCACCAATATTAATTTAATCTGCATCCTATTGAATGGCTTGCAGGAGTGAGCATATTAAATAATAAACGAAAGGATGCCACCTCTGAAACCATTGGTTTACTCAGTTATAAGGCTTTACAATCTTAGTTCATAAATACATCTTTTCTTCAGTGCAGGCTCTGAAATGAAAATATGCACAATTTTCTTCCTTCTACTCTTCCTCAGCCACATTTTGTTCTTAAAAATGTTAAAATGCCTCATGATTAAAAAGCTGTCGGCTTTTTGCAGTATATAATCTGACCTCCCTAACCCACACCATCAATTCATTTCAAGCTCAGTCACAAATCTTTAAACCCATCAAATATTCTGATCTAATTATGAAAGTTAATATTTGAGTCACATCTTTTATATCAGCCATGTATTTCTCTTTGTCGGATGGAAGGACTGTTGAATGGTGTAGTTGATTTTCTTTTATTTTTTAATACAGTGAAATCTCTTTCTGCATTTGAAGCTTTATAACACATTTTAACAAATGAGGACTTTGAAGTCTTATTCCTTGAAAAACCATATCTGGTATTACTTTGCTGTTTCAATCAAATTCTCTTCACAATCACTGACGCGTTAAGATTACTGTACTCATATCACACTCTCTTGTCCAGCAGCCTTTTCCTCATGTCTGCAGGGTGGCATGTTGTTCTTTAATGGAAGATATTCTACTTGTCAAAGCCAAAGAAATTTAAAAAAGTGCATCTACCCACCATTTTTAAAGATATAATCTTTGCATCCGATACCATTTGTAGCTTTGTTTTAATTCTTTTACAACTTTGAAATTTCTTATTCGGATTGTTAAAACGTCTGAAGGTAAACTTTTCTTAGCTTGTTAAAACCTTTTCTATCAAAACCAGGAAACTAGTCCATTGGCTATCTAAAGTACCCAAACTTTTTGGAATGTCTTGCAAGCTTGAAATGAAGGAAAGTGCATACTACCAAACAAAGTAGACTTCACAATTTAAAATATTAACAATCTTTAAAACATCTGGAGTGGAGAGCAGGCTATTAATTATGTTTGTACCAACCACTTCCCTCTTTGTCTTTTTTATCAGTCATAACATCAGGATCTTGACTTTATAGCTAAAATTTTGATTTCACTATGAAACACTGGATATGATTTTTGCTTATTCCTTTCATTTTCCACTACTTGAAACAATCAGGGAGAGTTGAAGTGTACTTGGTTTTCTAACTTTTACTCCACAGATTTACCTTTGGACAGTTTGACATTGGGGAGGACCTTATGTTAATCACTGCAGCATCTTTCCTCAGGCCTCTGCTTGTTGCATTCTACAATTAAGGTTCATGCCTCAGTGCCTTCCTCATGCCATGCTGGTTTTGTTGGGTAGGTGGGTGTTAATCAGTCACTTTCTCCTAAATAGATTTCGGCAAGGAGTGAATTTAAAGAGGTCAACTGTTGTGTCGTGGGAGCTTCCTGTGGCTCTCAGGGCCTTGACTGTGAGTCACACAAGCACACTGAGGACAGATTTCCCTTCTGGTGCTCTGTGTAAAATCAGCTGTGATGCTTGAGTAAAAATTTGTGCTAGATACTTTTTGTTGATTCTCACCCTGTGGTGCCTTCAGGTAAGGGCAGATATATACAGTCCTACAGTATCCTCCTTTCTACATGCTGTTGGTTAAACATAACCTCTGAGATATTTTAAGCTGCTGTTAGGACCTTCACTTTAAATTTTTGTTCAAAGTGAAAAGTTCTGCAGCGTTTCTAAACTTTATGTTCGTGATAATGGCACACATTTCCTATTTTAATAGAAAGGTTTAAAAAATTTGTTCTAGAGGGAAATGACTTAATGATATTCCTGTTTCTGTTGTTGTATTCACACGAAAAACTGACTCTGCATTAGAAAATCCTGCTTAGGTATTAATGCAATAAATTGAAATGAATGTGCACTTGATAATAGATTCTAACCTGTTTAAAATCAACACTAATTGTTTTAATTAAATTCCAAGTCATCTTAGAACAACCATTTAAATTCCCTCTATGTCCTCTTAAAATCTTTGGATCACTGTTTTTCTAGAATTTAATTTCATGCTGGCGCCTGTTAAAGTAGAAAGTTTTTCAAAGACAATACCCCCTACTATAGGCATGACCGGGAAAAATTATTTGCACATCTGCTGGTGTTTTGTCCACAGATTTTAAAATGAAAAAGTTGTGATGAAGATGTGTTAATACAAACAGAACAAATAACAAGCCCAACGGGTGAGCGTGTGCTCAGGGCTTAATTTGTTACACTGATTCCTTTGGAGAGGTCAGTGCTGTGATAATGATCCTGTGTAATGTGGAAACAGCTTTCATTGGTCATTACTTGGTTGGTTTTCAATCCCACAGAAGCAAACATGAGAGCAAACACATTTTTTTTTTCATCTTTTGTGCAAAATGTTAAAACAGATCTCCCATTGTTAATTTAAGCAGCGGGTCTGTAACACTTTCTAAGGCTAACCTTTTCTGCATGACCAGGGGTCTCAGGTGCTGTGTTTCTGGAACAGAGGTTATTTGCTTTACACACTAAGCCTTTACAGCCCGATAAAGGTCAAAGCCTATAGGGGACAGACTGAAGGGTAAAAGTAGTAAGTCCAAATTTTTAGTTCTCAATGTCCCTAACCTTGGCAGTCCTCTTCTTTTAGAGGTGACATTGTACATGCCATATCAAATTACGCAAAAATGCAAGGTTGTAGGATGGGCTGGTTTGCTTCTGCTGCTCAAACAAAAACATGCTAATTTCAGTGTTGTGCTCATTCTTATCGTTGAAATCCAGAGAAATAAATTAACTTAATATTCCTTTGCAATACATCTCTCTTTATTTGCCTTTCCAGTCTTCTGGGAATAAAAAGAAATATGTAAGTGCATGTTAATGACCCCAAAAAAGGTTGCTTAATAATCTTGGCAGGCATTTGTAGGATAATGGCTTGATATTGTTATTGAAAGATTTTGTAACATAAAAATTCTAATGAAATAAAATATATTTAATATCTCTATAGAGATGGAGTTTCAACCTAAACCAGAGGATCACATTACAGTACAATCCTACATACTGTAACCACTTAAAGAACAATACAATCAACCTAAAGGATCTGAAAATAGAAATCTTTTTTTAAATATATTTATATAATGGGTGCCTTTTGCAGCTTTATAAACAAGCCAAAAAAATAATAATCTGTGCAAAGTAGTACCCTTAGTGCAGCAATTTTAGCACTTTTGCAGAGATAATCAGGTGTGCATCAACAAAGTGGCTGTAAGATTTGCTGCTTCCTCAAGCAACAATGATATGACTTAAGAGGAAACTTAATGAAGTGTCTGGGCTCTATGGTACTTTGCAAAATAACAAGAAAACAAACAAACAAGCTTAAACATTGAAGGCTGGAAACATAAAATAAAATAAAATCTGAACAAATAAAAATAGTAGAACTCAACAATGTCTGTTTTCATCACACTCATGCATGCACACATCAAATCTTTCAGCCATTGTCTGAGGAAAAGAGAACTAATAGGATAACAATGGTGTTGTCTTATTTAATTTCATCACACAAAGGAAGAAAAAATAAAGGTTTTCACACTGATAGAGCCATGTGAACATAGTTTGGATTCCTAAAGGAGAAGCATGTTTTTTAGAGCTCACATGATGATGAGAAAACACCACATTTTCATATTTTCAGAGATGGTAAAAGCTGCTTCACTGATGGCAACGGACATTCTTTGGGGGACAAGCAAGATTCAGCACTGCATTCACTTCCAACCTTACCACACCATATAGTCAGCCATTCTTGACATGTTTCCAGGAGGTTCTACATGTCCAGTGAGGAAACAGCAGGGTAGCTGTGAAACATACTGCTAACAGTATAAGAGTCAAAGATCAGGCCACACTGTATTATCTCCATTGGGTCTGTGCTGCCCAGAGTGGGAATGTGAGGGCACCCATCACCAGCATTGTGGAGGGTCCACAGGAGAATGACTGGCCCGCAGCAGCAGCTGCCGCCCGTTCATCGCTTCTGTCAGCTCCGATCACTGGAGCTTCTGTTCCTACAAAAACAAACTCTGTCGTGCAGCCATCAGAACATCCACTTCCACTTCCGGAGCTACTGCCCTCGTCACCTGCAACAAAAAAATGTTAGCCGTTTAAATGTGAAAATGAGAACAGATAGCAATTATTTAACTGCATTGGTTTTCTTTTAAAGCTTTACAAAGTATAAGATGGGCTTACTAACTCAAACTTTTTCATGATGTTTTTGACTAGTTGGAAGAATGAGGCGATAAAGTAAGGGATAATTTCTAATAATGAGTCAAATTAATAACAATTGATAATTGAACATCATTGATCTCACAATGGAGAAATTCATCTCTGCATCTTAACACATCCCCTTGGGGAAGAGTGGGCTACTATGTGCGGCACCTGGGGAGCAATCAGGGGTTAAAGGTTTTGCTCACGAACCCAGAGTGGAGGCTGCAGGGACCGTTCCGGTTACTTGCCACCTTCTCAGAGCACAAGCACACTGCTCTAAACACTAGGCCACCGCATCCCAAGCTTTACTATTCTGGTAACATTTTAGAACCAGATTAGAATGGACAATGCGGAGGTGTGAACCGTCCAACATGTAACAGAAAACAGTTGCTTCCACGATGCCCATTTATTTCTGATAATGGAGACCTAAAATGGAACTATCCCACTTGTCTTTTATGAAATAAATAAATATTAAAACAATTATCAATATGCTAATTATTTTTTTAATCAAATAAATCATACGTTATTCATAAACAAGCGTGCAAAACAATTGCAAAATGTCATTAAGAGTAGTGGCAGTGTAGCTCTCAAGGTTTATGATCATCTTTCTTTGGGCCAGAAAGACTATAAATGTTGTAATTGCACGTTTCATGGCTTTTGAATTTACTTGTCTTTGTCTTTGTCAACGTCTAAATTGCTAAATTCCTCTGGCGTCACTTGTGTCTTATATCCCTATTTTTATATTCTCCTTTCTCTTTCCCTTCTGCTACACCACACTCCTCCAAATTATCAAATTTACTAGGTTAAAGTAAAATATAAAATTATTCTTGTTTTGTCTATTATCTTGCTGTTACTAACTGGCATTTGAGTCAACTCTTTAATTTAGAGCAATCTGGCAATTTGACCTTATTCTATTTATAGGTGTCCTTTTTAGCAGACACCATGCAGCCAGTCAGGTTCGAGTATTCACCCAGATCACTGTATAAAGCTTGCTAGGCCCTAAGTGGCGGCCTGTCATAGAATCAAAAATCTTTTCTAAATTAGTGACAGCATCCTACTAAGAGTTATCAGGTTGCACTGACAACACTGCTTGATGGTGTTAATGATGAAACTGAGTGAAGAAGAATCGGGTGTCTATTTCTAATGTCTGTAAGGTTTCTAAATAAAAGTAATGAATGTATGAAAGTATGTCAGAAACTGGTGTAAACTACCTTGAGAAGGTTGAACCAATAACTACAAAGTTTATCTGTTATTAGAGTTTGAGCTAAAGTCTGTCTTAGAAAATGCTGGATTTAAAAAAGTTTGCATCCTTTAGGAACACAGTTAAGGTTAGGATATACTTTCTTAAGCCTATACTGATATAAAGCGCAATTTAGGACAGCTAGCTGCTCTAACCTCAGTACTTATAATAAGAACATAGCGCATTTTTAAAATATAAAAAATTTTACATCAACTGCTCTATCACAGTGGCATGATACCATCCCGGCTCCTACAATACATAATTATATCTTCTTTAATATTGAAGTTCTTGTAATTTTAATGAGCTAACAGAAAAAAATGAACAAAACTGTAGACTGTAAATTAGCCACAAACGTCCACAAACGTAATTTCCATTCTCATTATCTAAGCTGACCAAGTGGTTTATCATAAACTCATTTTTGAACTCTTCTGATCTCTCTGGGTTTTGATTTTACTTTGTCGCTTCTAGTTTTGTGTGCCTAAAATTACAGCATTAACACATACTTTAAATAGTTTACATGCACTTCACTGAGGATACCAGCAACTACAAATCTAAATGTACTTTATAAGAAAGAAACTTAGGGAATCTGCTAAAGAATGCATGGGTGAGCTAGAAAGCAGAAAAATAGAATATAATGCAAATTATAACGCAGGAGAACAATAATGCAGAATTAATAAATTACATACCAGTAATAAAGAACTAAAGCTTTGAAATAAACCATACCTAACCTTTTATGTTGTTATAGAATTCTTTTAAATTTTAAGGTGTTTTGTGTTGTTCAGTTTTCTGTCCAGTTGTCTCTGAAAAGCTAAAAAACCCACAGTGACACATTCATTTATGATGAAAAAAAAGGAGCAAAACAATTATGTTGCACAATTAAGAGTATTTTTCCTTATAATTTGCTAGATGCCAGTCTGAGATTCTCTGGTCCTCTGTTGGTAAATGCCATGGTAATCCTACAGGTTCTATTTGCAGGGTTTGGTACACGCAACCAGCTCAAACAAAGCAGCCACTGTGAGGGAAAATATCTGGAAGAATGCACTATGAATACCTGAAAGGTCTCATATTTTAAAACAATACCTTTTAAATAGATCTCTTAAATTTTATTCTAAACTTGTCATTTAATGTATAGCATAGGTTTGTAAATTATAATTGTTTTGTATCAATGCATCGATCCAACAGCCGACGACACAATGAGTCGAAACGTCTGCAAGTGTATCGATTAATGTTTTTCTTTCCTCCGGGCTTTTTTTTATCCATCTGCTCCTGGACATAATTCTGACTCCCAAAACCTATTTTGCCCTCCTACCTTGCTTCCTTTAGCCACTACCCTCTTTCAACTTGCAGTATTTTTTGATGCAAGGCCTTTCAGAATCTATAACACAGAGGCATTATTATTTTTCAGTGATAAAAGGCCTAGGTGGAGTACAACTTTGCTACTTCTGTTATTTCCTGATGTTTCTCAAATAAAATGCATAAAGATATTACAGCTTTCATTGATTTATTTCAAATTTGAATTTTTTTTTTAAACCAATTTCTCGAAATGAATCATGGTGGGCTGCTCAGTGGGTTCGATTCCTGGCCCGCGGTCTTTCTGCATGGAGTTTGCATGTTCTCCCTGAGCATGTGTGGGTCCAAAAACAGTCCAAAAACATGACTGTTAGGTTAATTGGCTTCTCTAAATTCTCCTTCGGCCTGTGTGTGCATGAATGGTTGTTTGTCGCCAGTCCATCGCATTGCCCTGCAATGGACTGGCGACCTTTCCAGGGTGTATCCCGCCTCTCGCCCATTGACCACTGGAGATAGGCACCAGCACCCCTCGCGACCCCAGCTGGGATTAAGGGTGTTAGATGGATGAATCATGGTGTATTCTTGGGTATAGAAAATGATCGAATCGTTGGGTCAGGAAATTGATACTCGATTGAATCGCCATGATGGATGTGATTTACACCCAAGCTGCATCAGTTCAAACAAGACTTTTTGACTTCTTATTCTCGAAAATAATAGGTATTTTTTGAACAGCAGTTATAAAGAAATGCTTGCTTGTTGTGGCTGCTTTGTCATGGTAAAATTTGACATGCTGCTATAGCTGTGTTAATTGTGCTTTGGTGCTCGCTATCTCCATAAAATAAACTTGGTGGTTGAATTGTGGAGAATATAAGCTTTCTAAGGATGTCTAACATGTCTATATTTGTGTAGTTTACTAGTGTAATTTTCATGCATTCTGAGTTATTATTTGTAAATGCTTTAAAACGGGTTAAAAAAATTTAAACAATTGACTGGACCTACACCTGCATTAGATCTTAAGAACTGCATGCAGTACATGCTTCCTTTGTATTAATGTTTACTATGGTACGGGTGAAAATAAAATAAAAAGCAAAAACTTTCTATTCTATCTCTACTTAATATCTTTTAGCATTTTGGAGAAACTCTCAGTCCAGTTTGTTGTAATTTAGTTGCATATTTCTCATGTCAAAGATAATGAAAATTCTTACTACAAGACATGAGCTTTTCTTGCCCTGCATGACAAGATCTGTTAATATCTATATTTAATTAGTTGATCCTAGATACAGCTATAATTGAGACTGAACTTGCATTTATGGAATACTCTTTATGCAATTTTCTTTTCATATTTCCCCTGTGAAGCATTAACACATTTAACAATCTATTCCCACTGAATACTGCTAATGTTAAGAAAAACATAATGTATTATTGGTTTTCACAGAGACACAGATGTTTTCTTTCAGGCTCAGAGTATTTTACCATCTTGTCAGCACTAGCAGATCCACAGAATCAAACATGACAGTTTCTGTCACGACAACATGTGAGATGTACATCTTCCTAAATGTGGGCCTGGCTGTCTATCATTGGTGGTTTCTCCTCACCTTGAGCTATTTATTCTCCTAATAATATATGCCTTGCCTCTGTGATGCTCTGAACATCCACTGCCGTTGGTGACAAGTTCCAGCAAGAATGAAAAATGAGATGTTGTTTCTGTAGTTTGTGTATTTTTTGAGACTGCTGTTTGTCACACGGTGTAAATCAAAAGTAATGTGCAGTGAAAGAAGGAAATAGAGAAGCCTTGTTCCATATCTGAGGACTTACTGGAGTCCTGAAAGGAGATGTCATTTCCATTGTAGGCATTCTTTAGCTTGTTGGTCATGACTCGTAGAGTCATGATCTGCTGCCGAATCAGTGTGTCCGGTCGGGTGATGTCCAAAATCACCTCTGGATTGTTCACCTGGTTGGTGAGACCCTCCTTAACCACTTCAGGGAAATATCTAAAAACAGAAGAAAAACAACCAAAAAAGCACACAAACATTAGAGACGAACATTTTGATTAAGATTTTTAATCCTAGCACATATGTAAAGGAGCAAGGTAAAAAGGTGGAAATAAATATCTACATACAATTTAGGGCTGGATGCTTAATTGATTTTGACTAATAATTGACTAAAATTCAATTATTTTAGTTCATAGAAAAGATTGCTGCTGCTCAAATTTCTTGAAGTCTCTTAATAAACCCAAATAGTTCCCTGGTGAAAACATGAGATTAGAATTCCTCCTATGGAAAATGTTCTCAGACACTCCCAGAAATTCTGTGGAAAGACCAGAATGGCTTTTTCTGGTCTTAGCAATGTTTCAGCAGATGTGCAGAACTGTGACGCTCCTGATCTTTTAAAAATGAAATTCACGTTTAATGACATTTGATACCCGGAGCAATTGGGTGTAAATGCAGTATAGGTTGTCCTACCAGCCACTGTTTGCAGCTAATGCCTTTTTATTTTAAGTGATTTCAATCCTGGATACATAAATCCCTTTGGTTCAACTGTTTGCATTGGCTTAAACATTTTTTTCTTCAACCCTCCTTTTTCCAATCTTTGCCACAAGTTATTCCCTGCCAGCAGCAAGACAACAGAGTGCAAATCCTACTTGTGTCTAGACCTTGTAGAAAAGTTTATTTTTGTTTCCTGTGAAGCTTTTTACTTACCTTGCTTCTCTGTCTGTGCCCTAGATACTCTGGGACAACTTCTTTGTGATTCTACCTGCCTGTCTGCTCACACTCAGCTTGAACTGAATCACATCTCCTTTTCATTGCTTATTGTCGAATACGCTGCTTATTTCTTTTTAGCTTTCCCTAGCTCTATTTAGAGAAAGTATTAACAGGTTTTTTTATGCTGTTTTGAAATGCAATATTGGCAGTTTAAAAAGGGGCATTGCCGCAAACTAAAACCTAATTAAAAAGTGAGTCATAGTATTAGTCCCAAATAAAATATACCTCTCAATTTAACACACGCATTTGTTTTAGACTCTAAAATGGTTTAATTACAAAAAGAGGTAAGTAAAAGATCAAGGTACTGAGAAAGGTGTTCATGATTAAAAGGCGGGTAGGTCTAAAAATAGCAATTATTCTGGACTTTTCTTTAATTCAAATTTGTTATTATAAATTATTATTATTATAATTATTCTTTTATGTAGCAAAGTACAATCATTCTTAAACCACAGCTGGATGAGGTCATCCTTAATTCTTCGACACAGTTAACATAACTGGGTCTTTAATGAGCATAAAGCACATTGAATTTAGTTATACTGTATATTAAATAAATAATGAAATAAAATATTTTGGTACTTACATTAAAATGCTTTTTTTATATTGTGGTAGTGGATGCTGCAATTCTAGGACATCTAGACTATCTGTTTCTGCCTTAAACGGGTGAAGAATACTCAGCCTGTTTGTTTAGACTTTGATTAGGTGGCCACATGTTGTTTTGAACCCTTTCAATGGGAGACCTCCTGGTGGGCCTCAGATCGTTGTTTTTCTGTTTCAACAAAGTGCATTTGAGTTTAAGTTCATAAACAGATGGATTCTTATTTGGGGTATTCTGGTTAAGTTCATGGTTCAATCAATTACTACAATTCATCCTTGTCCTGAAGCAGCAAAGTAGCCAAACGTAAACATACTCCCTGAAATTGTTTTTAAACATCCTATTCATGCCATATGATGCATTTTTTCAACCTCAATATTTATAAAATTGATAGGTTTATTTTTTTTGTCATCGGTCTGTATAAAGAAAGCATGGTTACTATATAAAGAATATAAAGAATTCCTGATGGCCTGGCTGGTGTTTCATTATCAATTCAACTACCAGATTTAGAGCAGTGCTTAAAATGGCACTGGCACCAGCATATATTTTTTAATGCACCATCTGGTGATTTTGTTACTTGGAGAGGATCGAAGCGAGAGAGTGATACATGTTCCCTGCCAGCATCTCCAGTTCACTGTTGGAAAGAGCTACTTTTTGACCAATCAACTGTCAGTCTCAGGGCTACTTTACAAGCTGCTCGGGTGACAAGAGGTTTTTGAAGCACCACAGTCCTTCGAGTATTAGAGCCTTGGAGATTATGCACGGCAAAAGTTCTCCATATCAGTGCTAACCATTGTAGTTTAAGAGAAACTGCTAATCTTTGAACATAATTTGGTTATTTTAATCCATGGCAGGCAAAATGTGATAAAAGCTGTTTGATTCTTTTTTTTTTATTTTTTATTGGAGCTGTTGAGTCCTCACCTGCCCTTTGTGTGGCTGTTCCAGCACTGTTCTTCATCAGACGCTGACAGTTTGCTTTCTGCACAGATGTCATCTGGTAATTTCGACCAGAATCTCTTGGACTCCAGTAACTTGTCTTTGATGTCAATCACCTGCCGTTGGCCAAAAACATGGAAAAAAAGAAAAACAAAAAACACATTGAGATCCTAATTAAATCTAAAACTGGAAAATAAAGATCCAAAACACAATTTAGCTCATCAATAAACAAATAATAACACAACAACAAGGTATAGAATATGTTTATTTGGGGGTGTAGCAGTCATGAACCAAGTTTGTCTCCTTTATAATACTTTCTGTTATTTTATTCCATTAAATGAGAATTACTGACTGACAACAGTTTGTTCATCCTTTTTTTCTCCAGCCCCCCTTCATATTCAGTTGATCTTTGAGTCATACAAGACAGATTTGAGGTTTCAAATCTGGTATTTGGAATAAGTGGTTACCCCCAACTGATTCCATCTGGGCTCGACAAGAAGCCTGAGCGAGGAGAAGAAAATAGCCCAAATTTTCACACACCAAAACATCTTATGTTTCCTTTTTGTTCTATTTTTTCAATAAAAAAAAAAACAAAAACAAAAAAAACAAAAAAAATTAAAACAAAGTAAAGATTTCATAAGATTTGCAGTAGTGTATTGATGAATTGAAGAGGGAATGAATATTGCATTACAGCCAAAAATACACAATAATCATAAAACTTGATTAATCGTTTTTTGTTGTTAAACCAAAATCACAATATGTTTGAGGATGATGTCTTCTAGTTTAAATAAAGATGGTCAAAATAATTTTTTTCATCTCATAAAAAAACAGACCTGTTCAATTAAAGATGATCTAAAATGACCTTAAGTAATACATAGGACCAAAATGTTGTTGGAATATGACTTAACTTATTTCTTTGAGAATTAAACTAATGTCTCTAAAGGGTTGGGTGTGTCTGATCTGCCATAATTTGCAAAATTCAAAAAAACTAAATCTAAGAAAGCTGATATTGTCTTTCATCAGTGTCTTAAATTTAATGACTCTTTTAGCTCCTTGTTGAGAATGATTGCTGAGATGATATCATCACATACATTACAACTAGAATCATTCACATATTACTTGAGTAAAATTTTGAATAAACTATATATATATATATATATATATATATATATATATATATATATATATATATATATATATATATATATATATATATATATATATATATATATATATATATATATATATACAGGTGCTGGTCATAAAATTAGAATATCATGAAAAAGTAGATTGATTTCAGTAATTCCATTTAAAAAGTGAAACTTGTATATTATATTCATACATTACATACAAACTCATATATTTCAGATGTTTATTTTGTTTAATTTTGATGATTACAAATGACAACAAATGAAAATCTCAAATTCATCATATCAGAAAATTAGAATATTGTGAAAAGGTTCAAAATTGATGGCCCCTGGTGCCACACTCTAATCAGCTAATTAACTCAAACCACCTGCAAAAGCCTTTAAATGGTCTTTCAGTCTAGTTCTATAGGCTACACAATCATGGGGAAGACTGCTGACTTGACAGTTGTCCAAAAGACGACCATCGACACCTTGCACAAGGAGGGCAAGACACAAAAGGTCATCGCTAAAGAGGCTGGCTGTTCACAGAGCTCAGTGTCCAAGCACATTAATAGAGAGGCGAAGGGAGGGAAAAGATGTGGTCGAAAAAAGTGTACAAGCAAGAGAGATAACCGCACCCTGGAGAGGATTGTGAAACAAAACCCATTCAAAAATGTGGGGGAGATTCACAAAGAGTGGACTGCAGCTGGAGTGAGTGCTTCAAGAACCACCACACACAGACGTATGAAAGACATGGGTTTCTGCTGTCGCATTCCTTGTGTCAAGCCACTCTTGAACCACAGACAGCGTCAGAAGCGTCTTGCCTGGGCTAAAGAGAAACAGGACTGGACTGCTGGTGAGTGGTCCAAAGTCATGTTCTCTGATGAAAGTAAATTTTGCATTTCCTTTGGAAATCAAGGTCCCAGAGTCTGGAGGAAAAGAAGAGAGGCACTTCATCCACGTTGCTTGAAGTCCAGTGTAAAGTTTCCACAGTCAGTGATGGTTTGGGGTGCCATGTCATCTGCTGGTGTTGGTCCATTGTGTTTTCTGAGGTCCAGGGTCAACGCAGCCACATACCAGGAAGTTTTAGAGCACTTCATGCTTCCTGCAGCTGACCAACTTTTTGGAGATGCAGATTTCATTTTCCAACAGGACTTGGCACCTGCACACAGTGCCAAAGCTACCAGTACCTGGTTGAAGGACCATGGTATCCCTGTTCTTAATTGGCCAGCAAACTCTCCTGACCTTAACCCCATAGAAAATCTATGGGGTATTGTGAAGAAGAAGATGCAATACACCAGACCCAACAATTCAGAAGAGCTAAAAGCCACTATTAGAGCAACCTGGGCTATCATAACACCTGAGCAGTGCCACAGACTGATCGACTCCATGCCACGCCGCATTGCTGCAGTAATACAGGCCAAAGGAGGCCCAACTAAATACTGAGTGCTGTACATGCTCATACTTTTCATGTTCATACTTTTCAGTTGGCCAACATTTCTATAAATCCTTTGTTTTTATTGGTCTTCAGTAATATTCTAATTTTCTGATATGATGAATTTGAGATTTTCATTTGTTGCCATTTGTAATCATCAAAATTAAACCAAATAAACATCTGAAATATATGAGTTTGTATGTAATGTATGAATATAATATACAAGTTTCACTTTTTAAATGGAATTACTGAAATCAATCTACTTTTTCATGATATTCTAATTTTATGACCAGCACCTGTATATACATACAGAGAAAGACAGGTGACAAATTCATCCTGTCTCTGACTGACTTAATATATACTTTGGTGAGAAAATCCTTTGTAGGTGGGCCTCAACCTTCTACGTAAAATTCTATTGCTCTTGGCTGTGTTTCAATTCTCCTGGTAAATTGTTTTGGACTCGAACCAATTTCAGCTGCTGAATTGTTCGAGGCTCAGCAAAGTACAAACTAAAAAAAGTATCAGTCCTACAGAATGTCCTGTCATATATTGGATAAAACAACATCACCAGTCTGGATCCTTGATGTCAAACTACAGCTGAGTTTTTAAGGTATTCAGACATAAGCTATTTCTTTTAGCGTCAGCTAATTACTGCTTATCTGTTTCAAATCTTTAATTCACATGGCCATGGCTGTGCTGTTCTATTCAGAATTTACCTTTTTTATTACGTCTCTTTAAAATAGAAGCTAAAATGGAAAAAAAAACTTTATACCTTTCTTTGTTTCTCCTTTTTTACAGCCTCATTAATTAAATAGTGACAAGTGAGTGACATAAACTAAAGACTTTTAGCTCTCATTTTTCTCTCAGTTGGTTGAAAGGCTACATGAACAGATGGAGCGCGCTCATGTGACAGAAAGATTAATCTGCTGACATACAAGCCCAGTAATGACCAAATATGAACTTGGAGGTTAAAGACCAAGAACTAGTTGCTGGGTCAGTTTAACTTTTAACGTCGGCTTAAAATAACATTTCCTTTTTAAATATCTCTATCATGCTTACTTGACAAGTATATCATCTGCATACTCAATTTGACACATTAGGTATTTGGTAATTTTTAGTTGAATTTCAAGATGTGCCGAATTAAGCCAAACAATGGAGAATACGCACTCCTGTTCAGGAAATAAAAATAAAAAAAAACTTTTTGTTATCATTGCAGCTATAGCAAGATCTCATGTAAAAAGTTACTGATATATCTAAAAGTAAACATATTTCTGATCTTGCTAAAAAAGCTGTCCAAATGGTGTCAGTATTTAACTAGTCACAATTTTTCCCAAGCATGACAGAAATTGATTTTGTTTAACACTAAGTGCAATTAAAGTCTTACAGCAAATTCTCACTTTTAATCACATACATGCTGTCTAATCTTCTAAAAATAGTGCATTACTGTAGGTGGGATTTAAAGCCTGCATTGTTTGTTCTTAGGCTTATTGTAATTAATAAGTATTTTTAAAAAAAATCATGTTTTCCATATTTTTAAAACAGAATTTCATCTGGAATATTTATCCTTGAATAAATATAAAAGTTAATATTATATACGATAAAAACTACTGTACTGATCAAAGCTATAGTGAGCATAGTGATCATATTCTTTCAGTCACAGTTTGGAGTTTTTGACACTTTATTCTATATGTGAAAAATAAAATACAATTTTATTAATTCCAGAAATATAAAATTTACTTAATTTCTACCATGCCTACTCTGCTTGCCTTTTCTAGAATGTTTCATGTTGTTACTCTGAGGTTCACACCTGAGGCCCGTACCACGAAGCGAAGCGAGCTCAATATAGCGGGATTAGTGCCAGCCTATCCAGTTTCTGTGTGTTCAGGGAAGTGGCAAGTTGATGAATTCATTCATCAACTGCATCAGGACACTGGACACTGATGAACAGCTCGACAGACTGTATTTTTCCCGAGCCGCTCAGCATCCCCAATGGTAGGCAGAAAGCTGATGGTTCCACAGTGTCACATGTCCATAGATACAGTCTATGTACTGCTGCGGTATGTATAGATATATATATATATATACTGTATATATATTTATGTATATATAGAAATGATTTATATATATATATATATATATAATATACTATATTAAGCGTTGAAGTACTACGTCTAGTCAACACTATTTGGGATAGCTCAGTCCCAAAATCCTTTATTATAGCAATTTAGCATGTATGTAGTTGAATTCCACAAATACATAAAGGTAATTTTAAACAGTGTTACATTAGTTATAGACAGTAAACTGGATGTGTAAGCTCATGTTGGCATCTAATACATGAAAATCCTTCATCCTTTCTTTGTAGATATGTCCTTTTAAAAAGAGAACTGCATCAAATGCTAAAAAAAAACTGAATAATATGTGAATAAGTATTATTTTGTGATACAGAGGTACAATTACACCAACAAAACTTGAGTAATAAGGTATGGGGGCAAAGTCTTGAATATAAACTATAAAGGGACGTCTCAAACAAAAGGCTTCCTAGTTTGACAAACTG